TAAACAACTGATAGGGAATACATCAAAAGTCCAAAACAGAAGTTCAACTTCAATCGTGTGCGTTTTTATAGTTTACCAATGTATACAATACATCAAAACACTTTCTACAAATGAAACGAAGCCCCACAACAACATTGGTACCGGCTCCAACTATCTGCTTGTTATTGAATTTGGCCACCGGATTCTTATAGTTCAATATGCACCAGATATCATTCCAACCAGATTGCACATACCATCTCACAGCTGCTATCTACATTGCCTATTCAAAATTGATGAAATATACATTTATTACTCGTTGCAAATAGTAACATAACACATTTTCAGAGCAATTGAATTGTACAAATGCTCAGCAATACAAGCGCCAATCTTTTTATCGAATATTTAAGCAAACTACAGCAAAACAATTGCAATGTTTCAAATAAGCATTCGCATTATATGTATGGTTGCATGCGTCATTGATCTTCAACGGGAAAATACTGGCACTCGTCATGACTTCAACAAAGATCTCAAATCATTGCACAACACCAACACAACAAGATATAAAAATAGGGTCATCATCCTCATTCATACATTTCTTCGAGCATGTACAGTTCCTATTAAATAAAAGAACAAATACAGCAATGTAATCAATTAAATCAACCGCACACTCACATAAAATATTTCATTGCTAGCCAACATAATTTGCATAGCCAGATGAAGGAATAGCAGCACATCAAATTTCGAACACATTATTAATTAGTAATATTGCTAATGAACATTTCGGATAAATACGGGCAATACAGAATGCGATTGACATTCAAAATATTTACCTCAATTTATCGATTTTTATCAGCCTTAAATAAATATCACCGATTGTTTTGGAAAGGGATATTCAATATATCATCAAATCGTTATTAATATGATTTCAGAATATGATTTCAGAATTGATTGACAATTTGATTTCAGAATTCGGAATATGAAGCATAAGCAAACCAAATAACACTTACCCGAACTTTATTTGAAGATCGACTCATCTAATTCATCATAAATTCTGTTTTCACGATGCCGATTAATGAATGAATACAGAATCATTCAAAGCAAGCTTTTCACTTCGATGGGGACGAAAGATCTTTTTTTTTATTCGTCATAAAATAATTGTGTTGAAGATGAAGATGATTGATTGTGTTGAAGATAGAATGCAATTTAATTTCAATTCGTTGCCTAATTAGAATATGTACATGTCATTAGGGTCTAATAATAATATCATAATAGTTAATCACCCTAGTTTATAATTTTTTTAAGTAAGGGTACTTTAGTATTTATCTAAGCTTGTTTTTTTTTAATTATTTTATTAATTAATTAAATTTTGGGACACATGGCATGATTTTAACGGAGAACCTAATGTTAGGTAGGTACGAGGCTGGTACGAGTCAAATCTGATATTAGAATCCCCCTTGTCAGTATTGTGGATCACTCTTTTGGTTTTGTGAAAAGAAATCAAGTCAAAAAATTAAAGGTGTACCAGATTATAGTGGTTGTTGCCAAAATGCATCGTACAACTACCGATGCTTAAAAATCCGCCCACTTTTTTGTACGACTTGCTTCATAGAGATAGTCGAACAAGCAAGCATTTTCAAGACAACATTCTCTTACAATAGCATGTTTGGGTTCACATCATTCGGAGGAAAAATAGATGGGGATATTAACAGAGGGACTGGACCTCCAGTTTTTACTTTGTATGGACAAAACTATCATCTTATGGGTAGTTTGCTTCCTTCGGATGGTTCAATGCCAAAATTTGCACAGTTGTACATATATGATACCGACAACGAAATTTCAAATAGAATGAATGCTGTGAGGTTTGTATTTAAAATTATATAAGTTATGAAAAAACACAAGTATCCAATTATTATTCACTATGCTTATAATTTTTTTTTTCAGGAAAAGAGATGGTGATAACGACTTGCACGAGGATATCGTCGTTGGCTTGAAACAAATGTTAGACGAAAACAACGAGCTGGTTAAGTCATTTCGAATGGCTCGCGATAGGATGCAGAACCACTCTCAGCCTAATGCCAGAATACGTCTAATAGGAAAAAGATACAATGATGCCAGACGCTATAATCTACCCGCAAGCTCTGAAGTTGCTGCCTTGATTGTCAGAGATTTTGATCAATGTTTGGGTGACAGAGATATATTGGTTGAAACTAAGAGTGGTCATCTTCAACGGATAAATGAACTTAATGCTTCATATCTGGCATTACATTATCCATTGTTGTTGCCATATGGAGAAGATGGTTATAGGGAAGACATACCATTTGCTGATCTTAAAGCCGAAACTGAAGATGGGCGAAAACATGTGAGTATCAGAGAATATTTTGCATACCGTATACATGATAGGGACAGTGAGCCACGTACAATTCTCTCAGCTCGAAGGCTCTTTCAACAATTTATTGTTGATGCTTATACGATGGTGGAATCAGCGAGGTTGCGATATATCCGATTTAATAAGAAAAAACTTCGTTGTGATCTTCATAACCATTTGGCCGATGCTGTTGTTCGTGGCAACACCGATCCAAGTTCCCGAGGAAAGCGTATTGTACTTCCTTCATCTTTCATTGGTGGTGCCAGAAATATGATCCTTAATTATCAGGATGCAATGGCAATTTGCAGATGGGCTGGATATCCTGATTTGTTTATAACGTTTACCTGTAATCCAAAGTGGCCGGAGATTATTCATTTTCTTGAGCCAAGGAAATTGCGGCCAGAGGATCGACGTGATATCGTGTACAGAGTGTTTAGGGCAGAACTAAAGGAGTTGATAAAAGATTTCTGTAAGAAACAAATTTTTGGGAAAGTTATTGCAGGTAACACACTTTTTTATCAACTTAATTAATCAATTAGTTTGTTTCGTTATTGTGTTTTCTTATAATTGTTTATAAAATTATTCATATTATTAATTTTTATTATTTTTTTCTTATCATTTTTGGTATATATACACTTTATTTATTTATTTATTTATATTTTGTATTTTTCAGTTGTGTACACGATTTAATTTCAAAAGCGTGGATTGCCGCATGCTCATATACTGTTTTTCCTTGCTAAGGAGGATAAGTTTCCCCATCCATCGGACATAGATAGAATAATATCTGCTAAAATACTAGATGAGGCGTCCGATCCTATTTATTTTGAAGCAGTTAAGGAGCATATGATGCACGGACCGTGTGGTGCAGTGCGAACAAACTCACCGTGTATGGTCGATGGCAAATGCAACAAACGCTTTCCAAAAAAGTTTGTTGATTCTACTTCGGTCGATGAAGATGTATATCCACGCTACAGACGTCGGGACGATGGTAGGCATATTGAAAAAAATGGTGTTGTACTCTATAACGGTTATGTAGTGCCTCATAATCGTCGATTGCTGATGAAATACGAAGCGCATCTTAATGTTGAGTGGTGTAACCAATCCCGATCCATAAAGTACTTATTCAAGTATGTTAACAATAGGAATGATCGTGTAACCGCATCATTTTATGAGACATCTGCAGATGGTGATTCTGAACAACCTTTAGACGAGATCAAGATGTACTATGATTGTCGGTATATATCTGCCTGCGAGGCGGCATGGCGGCTGTTGGGTTATGAGTTGCAGTACAAGAAGCCTGCAGTCCAACGATTGAGCTTTCATCTTAAAGGTGAGCAAAACGTTGTGTTCGAAGACGATGATGATATCGTGGATGTGGTGAATAAACCAACTGTTAATGAAAGTCAATTTCTTGCGTGGATGGAGGCGAACAAGTTGTACCCAGAGGCCAGAGAACTTACCTATGTAGAGGCACCTTCTAAATTTGTTTGGCACCCAAAAACGAGAGAGTGGACGCCTCGAATAAGAAAAGATACTACCATAGGTCGCTTAAGTCACGTTAACCCGGGTTGCAGTGACAGTTACTACTTGAGATGTCTGTTAAATGTTGTATGGGATGCTACATGTCATGAGAATTACATGAAAGTTAGCGAAATCCAGTATTTGACTTACCGAGATGCTTGCTTTGAGCATGGTTTGTTGGATGATGATAGAGAGTATATAGATGGCATAACGGAAGCATGTCATTGGGCATCTGCGGATTCTCTTAGACGTATGTTTGCATCATTATTGGTGTCTGGTTCGATCAGTAGACTGACGATGATTGGGAACGTTGTTGGCAATTATTATCTGATGACATTCTGTACAGGCAGAGATGACTGTTCAATAACGATGGTAATTATTGTTTCTAATATATTATTTTACTTACATTTATTTTTTAAATAAAAAAATTAATCATTTTCTTTGTTTACTGAAAAATTTATTGTACCATTCAACATTTAGATTTGCGGCTCAGTGATGATGTTATAAAGAATCTCACCCTAAGAGAAATTAAGACTTTGTTGAGAAGGTGTGGCACAAGTCTTCGGGATTATTCATCCATGCCTTATCCAGTCAGAGATCATAGTAAATCCACTTCGAATCGCTTAATATTGGATGAGCTAAATTACGATCGGAAGGCTTTATCTGTAGAGCACGAAGCACTTCTTAGTAGAATGACCGACGAGCAGAAGAATGTTTATTCAAAGATCATGGACACTGTTGATTCTGCTAATGGTGGTGTATTTTTTGTATACGGATATGGCGGGACTGGGAAGACCTACTTGTGGAGAACGTTGTCTGCGAGGTTACGATCGAAGGGTAAAATTGTTTTGTGTGTCGCATCAAGTGGAATAACGTCTCTTTTGTTGCCTGGTGGAAGAACTGCACACTCTCGATTTCGCATACCGCTGAGTATTCATGAAATTTCATCCTGCGATATGGACCAGGCAAGTCCTCTTGCGGAACTTATAATACGATGCTCTCTCATTATATGGGA